AATGAATTTGTGATGCCGTAAAAGTTTGTATATTATTTATAGAAGCAACTGAATAAATAGATACAAGAGGCCCTTAATCACAAGAGAGGATCTCATCGAGATTCTAAGGATTAGAGGATCTAGCCAATATTATAGGGATAAGATGAAAGAGAAAAATAAAAAGAAAGAATCTGATCCTAACAGACCTATAAACGATGTTGACTTCTAGATTAATTAAACTAGTTATTGATTTAGGGTTTTTGGCCTAAAGCCCAATAGGTGTGCCACACTAACAGACAGGAACAGAGGCCAATGAACACACTCAAGGTTTGTTGTCAAGTTCTTTAAGTAGTTCAATGATGCTCATTCTTTTTCATTTAATTTAGAAAAATGTTATTGTCATATTCCCAAAAGGATAATAATTTCAGATGACAACATCCAAAGAAACATCACCTTAGCTATAGTTAACATAAATAAAGAAACAATGCATGAATGACAACAATTGAGATATGCCAAAAAGTTGTTAAATCAAATTAATAACTAACAGTAAAGGAAGAAGGAAAAAAGTCACGTTAAGCTGAAGAAAAATTGATAACTAGAAATCACAAACAATCAAAATTACACACACACACACACACACACACAGATCAAACATAAGATTTAAACAAAACATGGGCAATTGAAGCCGTCCATTATATAAGCCACAAAATTTACTTAAATGTAACAAATTTTTTAAATATTACAAGAAATTTCATCATGAATATGAATATCAACTATCAACAATTAAATAGATGTGAAGAAAACTTTCTAACCTTCTTTTATTCCTATATTAGACCTCTCGTGAGCATTTCATCCAGAAGATCCTTTGCCTTATCACTCTCACCCTTTCCTAAAAAGGGTCTAATAATTGCATCAAAGGTTACAAAATCAGGTGGGCATTCATTCTCTTTCATTTTATAAAGTAAGGCCTTTGCCTCATCAAACAAACCTGCTTTACAAAGTCCACTGATCATTGCAGTATATGGTTAGACATTCAAAGGATGGCTATTGACCAAAAGATATTGAAAAATCTATTGTGCTTCATTTAATCTACCACCCTTGCACAAAGCATCGAGAAGTATGGTATACATGCATATCTTAGGCTGAATTCTTTGATCAACCATTCATTTAAATAATGGAATTTCCTAATCAAGATGATGACTTTTGCACAATCCATCTAACAAGATATGCAAAATATTATATTTGGGGTATGACCACTAGCATGCATCTCATAAATAATATCCTAAACATATGACATTTTCCCTGATTTGCACAAACATCAACAAGATAGCTATAGGTGACAATATTGGGAAATAAATTTTTATGCTCCATTTCTTTAAAGAGATCAAAGGCATTATCTACCATCTTGATTTTACATGATCCATTAATTAAAATACTATAATAAATAATATTAGGAGCCAAGCCACTCTTGACCATCTTATTGAACAATTCACTTGACTCACCAACTGTAACACTTGCCCCGAGTGTTATTCAAAAATCACACAATTCAAATAAACTAAGTGTAGTTAAGGAGTTAATCCTAAAATCAATTTAGGAAACAAATCATTTAAATCAATAACAATTTACATAATAGCAAAACACACGTATAAAACCTCTTATAAAAGTATAAAGGATTAATATGTAGCGCATGAAAGCAAATAAGGCAAACAGGGGCAGTTAATTGATATCATGACGGCATTAATTTTGCTGTCATGACAGCCCTCTTGGGCAAAATTTTTAAGAGGTGCTGATTCACAGTTTGGCCTCCGATTGAAGTAATTTTAAAGCTCACATGTCACATTCAAAGGGTACTATAAGCGTACCAAATTTTAAAAAGATCCAACGGTCAAATTAAAAATTAGACATGTTAAAATTTTGGTCATTTTTGCTGTTATGACAGCTAAAAAGCTGTCATGACAACACCTCCGGACTAACTTCCGGGGTGCACCATTCATCATTCGACCTCTGATTAGAGTGATTCTAAAGCCCACATTTCACTTTTAAATAGTAATATTAGTATACCAAATTTTGGAAAGATCCAATCGACGAATTGAATTTCATGCATGTTGTAACATTATCAATGTTGCTGTCATGATAGCAAAAGTGTTGTCATGACAGCTCCTCCAGACCAAATTCTAGAGTGTGCTGTTTCTCCGTTTGGTATCCGATCGACGTGATTCTAAAGCCCACACAAAGCTTATAAAAGGTTTTACTTGTGACCTAAATTTTAGAGAAATTCAATGGTTGGATTAAGATTTGAACACTTGAATGCAAAAGTGCAGTTTTTTTAGTAAAAACCATTTTTAAAATTGTCTAAATCTCATCGTAATGGCCACAAACTTGTGGGAACACTTTAGACATGTCAAATAGGACTAAAAACATTTGATAGAACATTTAAATGATAGAAAAACCCTTTATACCAAAATTTGACCACTTGGGTGCCATTTTCTAAAATGGACCTTAAATCCCTAAAATGCACAAATCACACAAAAGTGGCCAAAAACTATTTCAAATATCATATAGACATATGAATACACATGCTAAACGTTTTCACTTAGCTCAGAGATCTTTGTGGGGCCCACGCACCTACTCTCTCTATCCAAGGTGTATGTTTACCCATAGCACACCATTTACAATGCAACCACTTTGTATTTGCTTGTAGAATTACATATATACCAAAATAAATATTTGCTTGTAGTGAAAACTTGGTCTACTAAATAAATCCATCAAAACCACACACCATAGCTAAGTTTCCTAGCCACAAGTCTACAAGCAAACAAAAATTCATACACAAGCCATACAATCCACACATACTCACACACATATACATAATCATATCCTACTGGCACCCTAATCCTAAATATATTATAATGTACTTGCTCAAAAGAAAAGGGTTGCAATTCTTTATAAATCACAAGCAAACCCCTAGCTTAACTCTTTTCCCTGTCCACTTATGGATCTTTCACCTGGACCTGTAAATATTGTAAAGAAAGGGATGAGACAACCACAGTTTCAGTAACAGAGAAATCAATATTCCTTATTACAAGGAAAGCCATGGTCAAGTAAATAAATAATAGATTCAAAATAACATATAATTAACCAATTAAAATGCTTGAATGCATGAGATAGGCCAATATAGCATTTCCTGACCAATAGAATGCCCCTTGGCACTCTTTAACTTATAGGTAAACTTTGTACCTATTGTACCTCCACAAGCACAACATATAAACTAAGGCATAATCTAATCCACTGAACCGCCTGTGCCCTTTCGACGTGAATCTTGAGTAGTTAATGCTAACTTCCTCCCAAAGCTAGCCTGACTTACTCTCCATATAAAGGCTACCTTAGCCTAAGCACTCAACCTTACACTTCATATGCTGGATTCCCTCTCCCACTGAGAGGTGTCGAACACTCAATCTATTAACCACTTTAGTGTATTGAGCCCACAATACAAAAGGTAACACTTAGTACTGACAGTGAGCCATAGAATATCATAAGACCACATTTCCCCATTGGTGAACTCCCACAGAGATCATGCCTCCTACCTTTTCCTACCTTTCTTGAGTATTGATCACTTTAACATTCAAGGTAGTATAACACTCATAATTCATCCCTTAAGCGGTTCCTTAGCCTATCTAAGGTACCAAATTTAGTTACACTTCGTTAAGTGCAACTCTTTATTTTTTATGATCATAATGCATGCTAATAATCTTATTTCCATAAGTAACATCAATATTAAATAGATAGTAAACATAAATGCATTATTATTAAAGCAATAGCCCATAAACCCCTCTAAAAAACATTTATTTGCATTCAATTGTTTAAAACATGTAATGCATGCTAGATGATATTATCTACTCAAAAATAGCTAAACAAAGCAATAAGAAAAATAAATTCCCCTGTTACCTCAACCCCTTTGGTACCAAAAAGGTTTCTCTTGTATAAAATAAGACTTGGCTTGTTCCTTAACTTCTCAATAAGTTCCACCAATAATTCTTTACAACATATAAGTGATCCACATCACTTATCATGACAAATAGTATTAATGAAAACTATAACTCATACCTCACACAACTTGGGTCTATAAGCCATAATCCATCCCAATGGTCCATGTATTAAACCAACTATTCTCATAATACCATTTAACCACCCAAACCATTTATTAGCCATCACTAGGCTAATTTCCAATTTATATAATTTTTAATCAATTAAAAACCTTCACTTAGTGTTACCAACTTTCACCATTAGCCCTTATAATTAAAATCAAACTTTAATTTAAATCTTATTGAGCTCAAATAGCAAAATTATAACTAAATCAAAAGGCTTAAACTATTGAGGAGTAAAACCCAATCTCTTAGGATTTAATTTATGCCCAAAACACCTCTTTTCATCCAATTATCCACTCAAAACATTAGATCAATATATAGAAACTCAAGACATCTTCCCTAGGATCTAATGAAATAAAAGCTTACAAGAATAAAGCCTTTGGGATCAAAATTTAAAAATTTTCTCTTCCAAAAATTTAAGAAAATCAAGAGGGAAGGAAGAAGATTCAATTAGGGAGTTTACCTATTGTGTAGCCGAGTTCACAAAGGTCATAAAGCCTCCTAGATCCAAGCCTAATTCCCTCTCTTTCTCTTCTTTTCTTCCTCTCTCCCTCTCGTGCGTTTCCTTTCTTTTCCTTGTTTCATTTCTGCATTTCTACGTTTGTTTTCCCTTTAAAATGCTGATATAAAACTTTAGGAAAAATTACAAGGGCCCAACATTTTTTTATTATAGCACAAAAGCCTGAGTCAACTTTGGTAATTTTTTTCATAGTTAAAAATAAAATAAAACCCAACTTTTTCTTAGTAAAAATTCAAACTCTGGATCTCTATTAAATTATTCTAAATTTTAATTTAATTATAGATATTTTATTTTATTTTTAAAATAAATTCGAGTCTTAAAATTTTGGGATGTTACACCAACATTATTAATCAAACAGTGCCCATCCATTAAAGAGTTGTAAGTGACTTCATCAGGTTTCACGCCACTCTTCATCATCATGCCAACAATAGCTTCAGCTTTGGTGACACGCCCTTCCTTACAAAATGCACCGACCAGTATATTAAAACTATGAATGTTAGGGTTGATGCCTTCAAGTATCATTTGATTAAACAATTTTATAGCTTCTAGCCACTTATCCATGAAACAAAAAGCATGTACTAGAGAGTTGTAGGTCACAATATCAGGAGACATTCCCTGATCAATCATTTCATAAAATAAATCACGTGCTTCTGTTATGCACCTTTCCTTACAAAAACCATCAATAGTTGTATTCCACATAACTAAATCAGGCTTAACCTATCCCCTAGCCATCTTTTAGAGCAATTTAACTGTACATCTTATTTTCCTTATTTTGCAAAGCTCGTTGGCAAGTATGCCATAACTAACTATGTCTAACTGAAACCTTTTTGCTATAAGATCATCATAAAAATCTTAGGCCTTCCCAACATCATTATTGATGCAAAGGCCCTTCATCAGTGTATTCAAAGTATTCGTATCTGGCTGATACACCACCTTAAGAATCTTCCCTAGGGCAGAGAAAGCTAAAGTCATTTGACCCACATGGCCATAACAATCAATAAAGATGCTTAGACTAATGAAAGATGGCATGAATCCCTTTGACTCTGCTAGTGCGAAAAGGGAGATAACAGTTCGATGATGTTTCAACTTTGCAATAGCTCCTAAAATCTTATCAATTTGTACTATTGAGGGACGGGGACGCCTATAAAGCAAGACGTGGAAAGAAGCAATAGACTCTTCAATGTCACGAGGATTTGAGCCTTAGGAATGCAAGCTGAAGTTGGAAGCAAGGGCAAAAGGGAGGGAAAGCAGGAAGGAAGATGCAGACGATGTTGAAAGTAAAGGAAATTTATAGAAGACATACCATGACAACATCTGTGAGAATTAAGTGTGGCTATCATAGCTTTCACCCACAGAAGAGTTACTGTGAGCATGTGCTTTCGCTACTGATAAGAGGAGGATATATAAGGCAACCCACAAATAGACTACATGAACTGGTAGGATGAGGTACTTGCGTAATGTGCCTCGCAGATTCAAGAATGGCTTTAGGGAGGGTTCTCTCAGAATTATGGTTTTTGAGGTTTTTACTGTGGGCGAAGCACTTGGACAGTTGTTTCAGGAGAAAAACAAAAAAAAAATTACCATGAAATTGTGATAATTGTAGTATAGTCATAGGGCTTGCTTGGCATTTTTTTTTGTGAAATAATATAGTTGCCCTTAATTTTATCTTAGAATGAAAAATAATGGTTAAAAAATCAGTGACTACCTTTTTTTTTAATACAAAGCCTATAGAAAACCTTACAAAGAAAATAGAAATCAAATCATGTATAAAATTATAAAATTTTTATAATTAAATTGGTGTATATTTTGTTTTGATTATTGATTAAAATGAAAAAAAGAAAAATTTTTTCTATCATTTATGTTGCAACTACTAAAAATCAAATACTGGTTATAATTGGTAAATGATTATTTTGTTTACAAGTGAATAACAAATAAGAAGTGTCTCTGCAAAATTTTTGTTAATCAAGTCCAAAAAAAAAATACTAGTTACAATTGATAATTGTAAAATAGTAATAGAACTTGCTTGACATTTTTTTTAAAATTTGTGAAATAATATATATTCTCTTCATTTAATTTTAAAATAAAAAATAATGGTAAGAAAATTAGTTGCTATTTTCTTTTTTAATAGAAGGCCATGTAAACATTGTATTTCCTCCGTTAAAAAATTAAAGATATTTTTTAAGGAGTTGGATATTAAAAAATATAAGGTATGTTTAGTCTTTTGAGGTGTAATCATTACCTTTTTTTCTCAAAAGTGACCCTATTGATAAATGACTTTATATTTATTGTAGGGTATTTAATATGGGTAAATATAAAAATATATGATTAGTTTAAACGTAGATAACTACTTATTGGAGGATGAAATTTAATTAAAAATGTCTTTCATTTTGAACAGAAGGAGTTTAAAGAAATAGAAATCAAGTCATATATAAAATATAAATTTTTTATAATTAAGTGGGTGGTTATTTTATTTAGATTATCGACTAAAATGAAAAAAATAATAAAATTTTTCAACCATTTATGTTGCAACTACTAAAAATCAAATACTAGTTACAATTGGTAAATGATTGTTTTGTTTGGAGAAATGTTTACAATTGAATATGCAAAAAAAAAAAAAAATAGTCAAGTCCAAATATAGTTACTACTTTAGCTGTGCTATTAACTAAAACAAAATAAAATGACAAATTTCTTTCTTTCATTTTTATTTATGAGTCAAGTGTAATTATTAAAGATCATTTACTAATTATAATTGAGAAACTATTTTGTTTGAATAAATGATTATAATAGATAATAAATAACAAGTATTTCTTTGCAAATTTTATATTGAAAGCAAATATGTCATTTCATAAAAATATTAAATGCCAGACAATTTTCTAAAAACTTCACAATTTAGTATAACATTTCAAGATACTTGTTTTGTTATTTGCATATTTCATAATTTTTTTATCATGCTTCTTATTATTTACAATTTCTATTATAACATCTCAGTTTTTAATCACCTGATTAATTAAACCTAATTAGGGTAATTAAGTAAGTTGAGGTGGTGTGTGGTCAAGAAGGTCTAATAATGATACTTGATTGCATTTCAACCGAAATTGTGGGTCTAGTATCCAAGCGGGCCACTTAGGCATCAAAAGGAGAAGAAAATAAAGAGTTGGTGTTACTGTGCCACATGCCGTGGTGTATAGATCATCTGTCATCGCGCACAGACACTTCCAATGTAAGAGAGGACCTCTTTGTGCCATGCGCCATGACGCATTATGCGTCTACTGCGACGCATGGTCATTTTCTGTAATTTATTAGACGCGAACCGGTGATAAAAAAGAGAGAAGAGAAAGAAGAGAATGAAGATGATGTACCAAGCTTTGTTAAGGTTTGCTAGTAGACAACATTGGGAGTATTTTAAGGGCTATAAATACACAAGGTAAATACCATACTCCTTAATCTTTCCACCTCTTCCACATTTATGAGTTTATGATTAGGGTTTGATAGTAGAAATGATTTTTTTGATCCATCTAGGTTGTAGGTCCAAATTTATCAACTTAAATAGAGTTAATGGGAGTATATTAGAGTATCTAAACCTACGTATAATGAGTTTTGGTGTCTTGAGTTGTTGGGCACCATAAATATCTAAAATTTGTATTTAATATGGGTGGTTAGAAGAATGTGATACCATTAATGGAAATTTAATAGTTCATTAATGCTATTGGGGACTAAAGATAGATAATAAACTCAATGGATAGGCTCAAACTCTTATAGAATGGACTTTGGACAATTTAGAAGTGGAGATTGAGGATTTAATGCTTGAGATGGTAATGTTGATGAAATTTAATTTGGTTGATTGTAGTGCTCGGCTCTTGGTCACCTATTAGATTAGAAATTCAAGCTTGGAAGCCAATATATTGAGTAGTAAACCTTTAACCTCTCAAAGGTTTGAGGCAATTGGAAGAAACTCTACTTTGGGTATTATATGTTAATTGATTGTAAATTGATTTCTATTATGAATATAGTATGCATGGGTTGATTTTCAATGTGAAAAGCATATGTTAGTTTTGATGAGTATATGAAAAATTGAATGTTCATAAGGTTATTGTGGCTCAAAATGCAAATGCCTAATTAAGATGTTTTTGAATATGAACATGCATATGTCTTTAGAAAAATAAGTGTGATGATTAAGTGAGATAGATGTATGTTATTCTCATAGATTTTGAGAAAATGATAAGAATACATACTTGGGTAGCGCAAGATCGTGAGCCCAACGTGATTATTGTGATAATGAGTAAATGAAAATGAAAATGTGAAAACAAGTAAGTATTGATTATGGCATGATCAGTGGTGGGAGTTTGCCTAGGGATTAGGAGTAGAGAAAAATAAATATGGTATTTAAGCTACCCTCTGGTGCACAAGGGTATAGCCTTGTCTCACATTTTGTCGAGGAAGTGTCCCATAATTTATCGAGGGGACTAGAACTTAGCTATCTCTACTGGTTCAATGAGGAGAATAGTCTAGGGTATGAGACACCTCAAGGATTCGAGTATGGGAGAAACTATAATTTGAGAGTGAGTCATGTAATCTTTGGCCAGGTTACACCTCATAATTGGTGAGTTTAGGTAGTCCAGTCACACGAACATAGCCCTAATTAGTGTTATAACCTACAGTTTCAATCTAAGAAAATAAAGAGGGTATAAGGTTGGTTGATCATTGCTTGAGAAAATATATGACATGTCATACATACTAAGTTGTGGCAAGTCATATGAATAATAGGTCACGGTTACATATTTAAGAATATAATGATAATGTACCTAGTATATGAGAGATAAAGAAGTTACTAAATATGAAATGATAAGTTATAATATGTGTGAGCGTGTTTTACTTACTTGATTTCTTATGCATGTACTTGGTTTATGATTGATATATAATTGCATAGGTAGGTTCTACCTTGATTACTGAGTGGCTAAACTCACCCCTTTCATTTAACACTTTTCAGGTTCTAGCTCTGGTGCTGAGAGAGAGAAAGTTAAAGAGGCTAGGAATTAGCATATTCCTTTTTGTATGCCTCTAGTTTAGTTTATTTTGTGTGATAGTATATATGTGCCAATTCTAGATTGCATGCCATCTCATTTGCACTATTTCATTGTTAAAAATGTTTATTTATATTTTAGGCTCTGAGTAGTTTTGTTTGTGGAGATATATATGTTTGTAGGGCCAAAATGCTAGTGCAAGTGTAGAAATGATAATTTGAACATGTTTTAATTGATTTGGGTGAAATGTAATGCCAATTTACCTCTCCCTTTGTTTTTGATAAAAAAAGGGTTGAGAAGTGAATTTTGGTTATATTAAGATTTTAGTACTTGTGACGTGTTGTACTGGTAGTCTTGAGTTTAATAGACATAGTCCAGGTGTTAGGAAAGGCTTTTAGCACATGTTGAGGGTTTTGGACACCTATTTTGTGTGAAAGTTGTGAAAAGTGATCAAAATACATTTGGGTATCTAACTTCCTAGTGTAACTAGTTTTAGAAATGAAACCCATGCCATTAGCTAGTTCATGTAAAGAACTTTTTATAGACACCTAGATCATATCATTTAAACATTGGATGGAGAATCGGGTCACGTCAAAAATTCCCTAATTTTACTGTCAAATGACAGCAAAATCTACTGAATTTTTGTGCAACACGTCGCGGTGCCTGTCATAGAGAGCA